CCCTAAACCCCCAACAGCCCCGACCCAAAGCCGTAAACCTTGGGCCCGCCATAGCCTTGTTTCTATTCCGAGGCCGTGAAGCTTGACCTCTTCACCAACCTCCCTCCACCCCGGACCTCTGAATACCTTGAAGCGAAACCTTGAAGCACAAGCTTGCAAAGCCTCAATCTCTAACAAGACTCTGAACCTTCAAGCCTTCTGGCAAGCCACAACAGACCCGAGTGGCCTGATAGAGAAGCCTGAGGGAATCCCCAACAGGATTTCCTAGAGCTCCTCCTTCTAAGTATATGCTCTATATCATCTATACACTACACCAGAGCCCCCCCATCCCGACCCTTCAGGCCCCTGTTTTGGGTTCTTCCAGACCCCAAGAGCCCTCCCAAACAAAAAGGAGATATCGGCCCAAGAGCCGCAAGAGCCCCAAGACACCGAAACCCGATGCTCTCGCAAAGCAACCTCGGTTTAGGGCTTGGGGCTTATAAGGCTTAGGGTTTAGGGCTTAGGGTTACGGTTAGGGCTTAGGGTTTAGGGTTTATGTAGGGCTTAGGGTTTGGGGCTTGTCGGCCTCGATCCCTGCCATGCGAACCCCAGGCTCTTCGTGGCACCCCGGCCAGGGACCACCGGGGTCAAGAGGCTTCGCGTGGAGCGGGGGCTCCTTCTCCGGCTCACGGGGAAGACGGAGCTTTGGGTTCAAAGTTTGAAGGATTTGGGGGACATTTCTATCGCTTAGGTTTCTAGGAATTTAGGATTGCTCATGGTTCGGATATGGGGGTTCAGGGGGTCCAGTAGGGTCTACGTTCGGTCCTTACTCCCTTGCTGTCTGAAACTCTCTCAGAAGGTTTCGGAGAGAACGCACACACACACACAAGCGTTCAGGTAGTCATTTCAAGTGGTGGTTCTCTCAAGCCGTTGACTTAGCTGTTTTAGGGTTTAGGGTTCGGCGTTTAGGGTTTAAGGTTTGGGCGACTAGTAATTAGGGTTCAAATTTAGCTTGCTGTCCCTGGTGTCTCTCATATCTATCTCTTCTCTTCTCCCCATCTTCTTGCGTCGCCCTCCTTTGTGATTATCTTTGGCTGTCCAATCCTTGTTTGTGGTGTGCAGCATTGCTGATTTCTTTTCGTGGGTTCAGTGGAGTATTTGGGGATCCCTTATGGAACCATTGTGGAATCGCCGTTGCCTTGCATCATAGCATCCTCGTGTACGTTGTTTACATGTTTTTCTACGGGTTCTTTTTTGCGCATTGCTGAACCTACCTCATGTTCCCGCTCAGGAGGAGTTGGATGATGAGGTCCCTTGGAGCGGGTGATGGAACCGCCGCTTTAGGGCTTAGTTTCAATTGCGGGCCCCAGGGTTTACACTTTTAGGTTTGAGGCCGGAGATTGCTGGGGTTGACCTCTAAACTTTAAACCCGTGCAAAAGCTCACGAAACCAGATTAACAATCCTGTAAAGATCTAGAGAACCCCGTTCTGAATACTAAGTAGGCCCCTATCAGCCCTGCTCACAACAAGAAACCCTGTCGACGCAATGGTAAAGCAACACGAACATGCCCTCTTTTTGGGGTCCTTATGACAAGGATCCTACTATTTAAGGTGCTTATTAGGGTCCCTTATTTTTGGGGAAACCCCGTTTGGGCTTCTTTTTGTCTTGTGGAGTGGGGGTGAGGTCTGGATGGAGCTGGATCCTCTCTGGAGCCCAGGGATGCCCCAGGCCAAGATTCTTGGGTTTAGGGTTTAGGGTTTAGGGCTGGCTTAGGGTTTCGGGTTTGGCGTTTAAGGTTTAGGGTTAGGGTTTTGCGTTTAGGGTTTAGGGTTTAAGGGGGTTTGATGGGGATTTCACAGGGTTTAGGGCTTTGGGCTTGATGGGCCATTCGTCATTCTATGGGCCTGGACACTTAGTAATACCAATGTGGTCTCGGTATGTGGGTATACTACAATCTAATCCGAGACCCTAATAACAGCTATAACGCCCCTGCGTTATGGGCGTTTCATAAGGTTTCATGGGGTTTGACAGGGTTTCACGGGGTTTTCTAGGAGTTCTTAGCCTGTCTGAGGGCCTGGTTAGGAGGCTCATAGGGTTTCTGAAGGAATTACACAGACTTGACGGGCTTCTTGTACAGGAGCACCTCGGCTAGCAGGTCTCCTGACACGCGGGATGTGGTGCGTTGTGCTGCGAGAGGTCACAGACGTCGAGGGCGTTATAGGCCTTCAACGGTATCTTACAGGTGTTGGGGGCCCTGCAAACCTAAGCACATGTTCTTTTAACATGACAGAATAGAAAAGAACGGAGGAGAAATAATTTATCTTATAGTAGATCAGAGCATATTATATTCGATATATTATACTCGATTATGATATATTGTAGTGGCTTTGTATTGCTTTATGCTTTATTGTATCACAGTATATTGTAGTACATAAGAGGGCCTCGAAGCCCAAACTACGCCCGGAAGCCTCGATAGGAGCCTGGCCAGGTTCTGTTACAGCCTGGTTGGGCGTTGGCTTTTGGTGCTCCGCCAGAAGGACTTCCGGCATCGCAGCTACATATGCTCACACACACTAATAGCTGCTAGGCTTGCTATTGCATTTTCTACGATTACAAGCCTTCTGCTGCTGCTGCTGCTATAAGTTTTGCCGCTGCTGTTGGTTTTTAGTTGGCTCTCCGATTACTACACTGCCACTGCAGCTGCTGCTGTGGCTACTGGGCGACGACGACTACTAGTATTGCTGCTGTTGCTACGAACACCTAAATACTCCTGCTACTTCGGCTACTAGTGCGAAGTGGGTGACACAAACTTCGGCTACTCCTCCTTCTACCACCCCCTACTCTTTTCGATAGAGGACTTTCTGGATGTGTCGTGAAGCTTGGTGGAACAACCGCTGTGTCATGTTGTTCCACACAAGCCCCCTGTGCTAGCCTCGTTCTGACTTTGGGGGGGTTTTACCACCCGTGCCCTTCACTCTAAACCTGCAGAACCCTGCAGGAGGACGCTCGGAGGAATGGCTTCAATGCGGATTGGAGTTCCCGGTGGTGGAGCACGTGAAAGGGATTCTGGATAGATCTGACTGATCGGATTGGCCCAGGTCTGCCTTTGAACACAAGTTTCAGTTATGCTCAAGGTGGTCTGTGATGATGTGAAGTATGCCATCGGTTCTAGTCACGTCTCCCTGCCACAAACCGCCCCAGCGCCCGTGGACCAAGCAGGTGTGAGAATCTCAAGCTGTATATGCAAGCCTGCAAGAGCATGTTGACAGACGGCGGCGTTGTCGCGGCATAGCCAGTGCGTCAAAAGCATCTCGAGGCAGCTTGCAGGCTGAGCCTGTTGCAGTGTGAAGTCATTGCGATTCTTGCTATTGCAGCCTTTTCTCAGTAATTAGCTTTGCACAACAAACCATGAGTGTTGTATTTCTGTCCTTGGAAGAGAGAGATGGTCTGGACGTCGCTGCAACAGTGTTGTTCGAGGCTTGGCTTGTGGTTTTTTATAGTCTTTTCACAGTTGTCACGAGTAGACACATGGTTGGCTTGCTACTCTTATACTTTATGGCGATTTATGGCGATTGTCGATGCAAGTGTTTGTATCGTGATTGTGATATATTGTGATAGCTACCGCGTTTTTGGATGCATGCATACTAGTTGAGCATGTTTGCCTGCATACACATGACTGGCTGTAACTGATGTCAGTCAGTGAAGGGAAACACTTTCGTCATCCATTTTCGCCGCCGCATGCAGCCCGACACTACATGAACTTTAGGAATTGGCCCTTGCGAGAATGCGATTCTCTGGAGCCCGCACCAGCAGCAAGAAGCACGATTAAAGCATAGGGTTTTTAAGGCTCTAAGCCATCGCAAACCCGGAACCCTAAACCCTAAACCCTAACCTCGCCTGGCATGTCCGAGTCGTGAGAGCGTAAACCCTAACCCGAGCACAAACTAATTTCATTGATGTCCATCCCAAGGCCCCTGGTCCGCAGTACAACTAAGATTTCAAAGGGGAGGAAGGGTGTATAGCAGGGATACCGGCGAAACAGACTTTCCGAAATCTTATCTTCGTAGTATTCACCCGGGTTTAGGGTAGGGGTGCAAAACAGGTTTCCTTAGCACAGCACTCTTGGGCCTTGAGCCTGAAGCTGTAGCTCCAATTCAGAAACATGGCATCCGTTCAGTGCCGCTGCGGCACTGTGGTCATCAGACTCTCGATGGTGCATTGGTGCTGAGATCCAGTCAGTCTCACATCTGGGGAACTTGTGTTGAAGTATGCTATGCTATACTTAACTAGACTATACTTTACTGTTATTATACTAGACTGTATTATACTATACTAAACTGTACCATACCATACTACGCGATACTATACCCTACTATACTATACTATACTATACTATACTATACTATACTATGCTATACTTTACTAGACTATACTATACTGTACTATACTATACTAGACTAATACTATAGTGTTTTTTAAATCTTCTCTTATCTCATTTTATATTCTACCATTACTTTCGATGCACCCAGTCACTGCGCTCTGGAGCTCGATGCCTTTTGATGGCCAACTGGCAGCCCACTGAGGACTTGCCAGGGCTTTGCCAAAGTGTGCGTGGGAGTGCTGCTGCGTGGACTGCTACCAAAAGATTCTTGGGTGGGTGCAAAGTGCAAACATGGGCTTCCGCAAGGGCTTCGAATTGATCCAGCTTGAACCTGAATGCTGCAACATGTTTGAATAGCTGGGATGAGTCGGAGGTGTGGAGTGCTCTGACTTGCAAGCCGTTCGAGTTGAAGGGTTAAAGGTTTCAGGGTGGGGCGAAAGATGCAGTGACAACATCCTTTTCCTGGAGAGAGTGGTTGTAGGCATGAAGGTTGCAACTGTGGCTATTCAGGCACTTACAGCATCTTCTTCCACGATCACCATCGTACCACATCAACAGCTGCACTGTGCTCATCCTCCTAGAAGGGTCAAGGGGCGGTTCCCATTTCGGACTCGCGAGACTCATTCGCACCCGAGGAATATGTGGTCCTGTGAGGCAGGCGGTGTGGAGTATCCACCTGGATATGGGGTACACGGCGACTTGGTTTGCGACGTGTGAGCATCTGCAGACATGATGGCGCTGAAGATCTGAAGTAAGTAGTGTTTGCTGTTTGTGATTGCTGTCAGTATAGGTCATAATTTGCAGTTTTTTGACAAAAAAGGCATGGCGAATCGTGCCAGATCATTGGCAAAAACAATTGCGGGACTTGCGGCATGGACTTTATGGGCTTGCTCAGTACACCTAGCCAGGCTCCGTCGAAACAGAGGTCAGCAAAATCCTAACCCCAAAACCCCGAACCATCCCGAGCCCGAAATGCAAAGCCTGAGTGGCTCAGGCACCGGCCTTCCGATGCACCTCGTGTACTTTGACAACCAGCTCGATGTGCAGAAGGGCAGCTTGCAGGGTGTAGGGTTTAAGGGATTTCCACGTGCTCTTCCGCACAGAGAGAGAGAGAGAGAGAGAGAGAGTGTGTGTGTGCGTGTGTGTGTGTGTGTGCGTGTTCTTATACATATACGTATACATACATACACACACACACACATATACATATACACACATACAAATAAATATATATATATATATGTATATGTATGTATGTGTACGGAGAGAGAGGGAGAGAGAGAGAGAGAGAGCCAGCGAGCGCGAGACAGAGCGTCTCTGCGCGTGTCTCTGTGTCTGTGTGTATGTGTGTGCGCGTGAGTGTGCGCTTTTATGTATGTATGTATGCATGCATGTATGTATGTAATTATGTAGGTAGGAATCTACGTAGGAATGTTTATTTATCTAAGTTTGTTTGTTCATTAAATCATTAGCGGGGCAGTGTAATTAGGAGGCCTAGAAACCCTAGTTCCCCAGAGGGATTCAGAAAAGAGCCGGCGGCGAAACTCTAAACCCTAAACCCCTAAGCCCTAAACCCTAAACTCTAGACTCTAGACCCCCCCCTTGGAGGCAGAGAGAGGATCGCCTTCAATCGACTTCGAGACGATGCGCGCTCGACGAACATGATCGCCTCCTGCTGCAAGGCCCTGCTTTGCGTCGAGCATCCTGGCTACGTCGGCCAGTCGGTGCTGCTCTTCCCGGACTTCATTACCATCTTGGGGGTTCCGCCCCTCCTCCCTCCGGCCTGCCGCATCTTCATCAAGGACTGGCCTGCAGATGCCTATGCCAAGCTGCCCCCGAAGCCGGGCATCTGGTGGGAGGAGGGTAAAATGTACGGCCACAGCGAGCAACACAAGGCCCTCGCAGGCAAAAGCGTGGAAGGCATGCTGCAGGCGTCTCAGCCGAGAAGCTAGGCTTGGAGCTCTTGGGCTCATGAACTTCATTTTAACACCTGAAGTTTGTCACGTGCTTTAGATTGGGAAAAAAATGAGCAACTAAGGCCATGCCCCTAAGCGCGATCGGTGAGACCTTCCAACAACTCCTCGAGGCCGTGGGCGGAAAGGTCGAAGTCCTCGGCCTCCCCGAGGGCCCCAACAGCAGGCGCAAGAAGGCAAAGAGCCGGGCGGAGTAGAAAAAGCATTCCATTAAAAAGGGCAGGGGCAGGGCTTGTAAGGCCGTTTTTTGGGTTTTTTGGACGGCTTTTGCAAGTTTCGGGTGGAGGATGCTCTCAAGAAGCCTTCATGGCGCTACCATGAACCCTAGACCCTACATCGTGGGATCCTTTTCTGCCTTGTGCGAGAGTGAGAGAGTCGAAACCCTGCATAGTGGTTTCAGGACTTCATCGCCGTCGGCTTGGGACAAGCGGTCGGTCGGACTCCTCTTGAGTCACTATGTAAGTGATCGAATGGTATGTAATATGTTATTACAACAGAGACAGTCATTCGGAGTTGCCCGAGGCAGGCCCGTAAGTTGGTTTTCAGACTCACAACACCGGTCATTCCATAACGGGTGCCCGTAAGATGAGCCAAGCACGACGTGCCAGTATTAGAGACTAGGTCATGTCTGCGTCCTGTACAGCCAGTTAAGTCTATACCGCATCATGCTTTCGCCGGCGTGTTTTTTGCAGAAAGTGTAATCTTCGAGAATCCCATCTCCTGTCTGCTTATCCGGCTGTCTTCCTGGCCCTCTTTGCACAAATGCCTCTCCCTCTAGTAGACCTACGTCGCTCACTTACGCCTTAAGGGGGTTTCCATATAGGCCTTTTAATTTTAAGACCTATGTACATAAGTGTGGGTACACGGCACCTCGTGGACTAAGTGGCGATGAGCGAGGTCTTGGAAATCTTCACTTTCGCGGCTCAAACCCGGACCGGGAGGAGGGAAACTTCATGTTCAACTCAATGCTGCTAGATTTGGGGTTTAGGGTTCAGGGAGCCCATGTACTTTGTTTGTAAAATGCCCCAAAAGAGAGCCAAAACTGCAACTTCGAGCCATCAGGCCCGTAATCCCAGAACCTGAGACTCCCTCACTCGGAACCCGATTCCTGGGAACGTGCAAAGCCCCCCCCCCCCCGCCCCTCCCGAAGCTCCACATGAATAACAACAAGAAAACGAGCAGAGCCCGAACATTTTTTCTGAGTTGCGATGGCGCCGAAACCGCCCCCGGCCGCTGGGCTGGGATTGAGCGCCCAGGGTTTGGGGCACAGGGATGAGGGCGTCGGGTTCATAGCCTAGGGCCAGGGGTTGAGGGTCTGGGGCTGCTGGGTGTAGAGCTCAGGGTTGAGGATTTTTGTAAGGGCTCCCTGGAAGGACGCTTTGCATCAGGCAAAATACTACAATTATGTAAAAAGTACCCTAAACCCAAAACCCGCCCTGTAATGCGCCCAGTAGAAAAGACCCTCTTCGAAGGTCGGGGGGGGGATACCCAGGGCGGGGGGGTACCGACACGCGATGTAGACAACTCTATTCACATTATATTAATCACACCCTGAGGCGTGCTCCTCCGAGTAGTCAAAGGGATCGGACAGGAAGAGCTACCCCCAAGATCCGAGCTGCGCCTGGCATGGGCTTTCCCATCTTGCGGTCGAGGGGCCTTTAGGGTTTTGGGAGTTGAGGGATTAGAGTTTAGAGAGCTGTAGGGTTTAATCTATGCGCGTGGCATCTGCGACCGAGATCACGGCATGAGCCTTGTAGGAAATGCATAGGTCGCGGAAGACATGATGGAGCTCATGACGACCTTGACAGTGTGAAGAGTCCTCTGGACCGTGGCGGCTGATCCGAAGCAGAATGGGCGAGGGTGGAAATAAGTGACTTGACCCGCACGAACATGAACGCGCAGTCCAGACGTCTGGCGAGTCCGGTGAGGAGATGGCCCACCATGAATTATTTGAGGGTTGGGGTTTAGGTGTGAGGGTTTCGACCCGAGGGTTTAGGGTTAATGCTCTGCTGGTTTCATAGGAGTCATATGAACAAAGCAAGTTTGCAGGAGACGGCAAGCTACACACACACACATACATACACATA